TCTACATCTTTACTGACACTTATGTTTTATTTTTTTGTAATTTATAATTGTCATTCTAACAGGCATGAAGTGATATTATATTATGGTATAAATTTGGATTTTCTTGATGGCTAAAAATGTGAGCACTTTTTCATATACCTGATGATTGTTCATGTGTCTTCTACTGAGAAATGTCTGTTAGGTTCTTCACCCATTTTAAAATCATTATTTATTTTCTCATTATTGAACTATGTGAGTTTGTTATATAATTTTAGATGTTAAGCTCAAATATCATATGTATCAGATGTATGGGTTGCAAATATTTTTTTCCACTCCATGAATTTTTCTTTTCATTCCACTAATAGCTGTGCAAAATCTTTTAAATTTAATGAAATCACATTTGTTTATTGTTTGCCCTTGCTTCCTATCTTTCTGGGGTTAAATCCAATAATAATAATAATAATAATAATAATAATAATTACTATTATTATTATTATCTTGGTTTTAAGTAATAATAATTGCAACAGCTTAGAACAATACCAGTACTATCAGATTCTGAGCTACACATCGAAATATATTATATTTAATTCTATCAAGAAGACAAAGTAGTTGTTATCATCCTAGTTTTACACCTGAGGAAGCTGTGGCTTGGGAAAGTTCAGTAATCTGCCACAGCTATTCAGTGGTGAAGTCAAATTTGAAACGAGATGTGAATGCAGAGCACAGAACCTGAGCCCTTTCCGTTGGCCTGTGTCCAACATCTTTACAACCTGTTGCATACATTTCCAATCTTCTCCACATACCTGAGTTTTATGAGAGCAATGAACAAATGTTTTCTTTGTATTTCCTTTGGTGCTTTACATATGAACCCAAGAACTTCCTGGTGAATGAATGGCAGCTTTGTAAGGTGCTGATAATACCGGGTAAAGGAGATATGACAAGGAAGAAAGCCACTTTACAGGCATCACAGCGAGGAGGGGTGTGGTACTCGGTTTCCAAGATGGCCACCAGTGAGTGAATACCTCACCTGATGGTATTCCCATTCTTATACAGACCCCTACCACAGGGAGTCAGCCCTGCTCGGCTTGACCAGCAGAGAGACTTCCCTGGCTAGGTCAGAAAAGGTATTAGAGTGGCTCCCTCCCTCGTGAGAATGCCAGCTGCCATGCTGTGCTGACAACTGAGCAGCTCCATGGAGAGGCCAAAGCAATTCATCAGCACTGTCCTGCCAATCAAGTTAAGTGACCTTCTAACCCAGAAAGAGTCTTTAGATGAGGATAACCTCAGGCAGCAACAGACTTCAACTTCGTGGGTAATCCTGAACCAAAACTAGGTAAGTGAGCCACTTCTTAAGTTCTTACCCACAGAAATCGGGAGGTTATAAATGGTTATAATTATTCTAAGCCGTCAATTATGGAGATTCGTTATGCAGCAGTAGGTAACTAATATATGACATTGGGAATGAATTCCACAAAAGTAGGGCTGGAAATAGAAGGATCAAAGGAATTGTGGGAATAAAATAGGCGGGGGTGGGGGGCTGTAAGAAATGGAAAATGCAGCCGGGGATTTAGCTCATGGTTCTGGCTCCTGCTGTGCAAGCGGCAAGGTCCCGAATTCAATCCCTGGTACGAAAAAGAAAAAAAAGAAATGGAAAACACAAATGTTATGAAGAACCATCCCACAAAGAACCTCAGACCTGGAAGAAATTTTAAGGGTCCTTTAGTCCAATCACTCATTAAATGCTAAAGACCACTTATAAAATAATAAAACTAAGCCAGAGGATTGTATGAATTTATCAACGTTGAGACCTAGAAAACTGACTGCCTGCAGCTCTCCCTCATTTAGTGAGGAATGAGAAATTATGTGGTCCCCCATTTTCCGTGGCTTTTGCTTTCCAAAGTTTCAGTTATCCATCCTCATTTTTACCATGGTCAAAAGTATTAAACGGAAAAATTCCAGATATAAACAGTTCACATGTTCAAAATAACTTTTATTACAGCATATTGTTATAATACTACTCATTGCTATGAGTGGAAGGGAGAAGGATTGCAGTCGTAACACAGGCCATATTCTGTGGCTAAACTGAGGTCATTCCTCCAAGCAATTTAAATATGAAATTGAGGGAGAAGAGGAGCGAGAGTAGGAGGGAGAAGCAGAAAGAGGAGGGAAAGGAGGAAGAGAGGAAGAAGAAGGACCTAATGTTAAGTGAAATAAACCAGATACACAAACTGAAATACCGTACTGTTTCTCTCATGTGAGAAACTCAAAGGGTAAAAAAGAAGCAAAACGGACAACAGACATGGGAAGTAGAAAAAGCATGTTCAAATGGGAAGGGGAAGAAGGGAAGGAAAGGAAAGGAAAAGAAAAGGGATTTTAAAAAAGAGAATGGAAAGAGAAAAAATGGAAACAAAGCTTTTGTAAATGGGGAAGGGAAGAAGGGTTGAAAGGAGGGGAGGCGAACGCAAACAAAAGAAGAATTAAGAGATTATGTAGAGGCACAAACCCCCTATGATGGACGTGATCATTATGTATGGCAAATACATACAAATAAAAATGAAGAGGAAGAAGAAGGAGGAGGAGGAGGAAGAAGAGGAGGTGGAAGACAGGGATGGGAGAATAAATGAATCTGTTGAAATGCTATGTGGTAGACATTGTCCTAAGCTCTTTAAACATATTCTCTTTCCCCACAACAATTCTGTCTTCAAATTATTTTAGTTCTATTTCTTCCTCTTGCTTCCCCTTCCCCCATTCTATTGATCTGAAGTAGAAAAAGTAGGAAAACCACAGACAAGAAGGATCAAGGCATTCATGAAATTCCTAAACTTCAGACAGGACAAAAAATTTGAGTCTACAATTAAGGGTCCAGCAAGGTCCAACTAAGAGAGAGTCCGCTCAGACTGGGGCATTCCTTTCCCTGAGCATGTAGGCTACATTTTCTGGGGTCCTTATTAGTGTAACTCTATTCAATGGGAGAATGTACTGAGATGAAAAATTTTAACACCTACAACATTCTCTACCCTACAATATGATGTTTTAAAGGTCCCAGAGCTGTTTCTTTCAGAGGCCAGTAGAAGATCCACTGGGGGAAAGGTTCTCCCTCCTTATTCTTTCTTCAAGGAATTACAGGCCTTTAGCCAAATGCAAGCATGAGGAAACTTGTTCTGTAGTAGCCACCTGTAACATGAGCACAGTGGTTTAAGGGGAAGAAGAATGTTCAGGTCAGAATCAGGGGAAGACAAATTAGTGACCATTGTCCACTCTGTCATCCTCTATGAAGAAGTCATATGCTAGGCTAAGGGTAGGGAAGAGAATTCTGAACAGTTATCAGAACACTAAAGCAGCTGATCATCCCTCTAGGAAAACAAAATACAGTTCAATAAGAAAGGTATACATGGCTTGGACATTTGGAACATATAACATACCAATGAAAGGCCTGTACGGTGATGTCAAAACATCTTACTTAGCACTTCTAAGGGCGGAAAATCTAGACCTTTAACAAATATCATACTTACAGCATTATTGATGCACATGAAAGGGTAACCAACAGGAAAGTCTAGCAATGTTCACTAAGGTCACAGACACATGGGGCCAACAGAACACACTGGAAATGAGTTAAGAGGATGCCCCAAGAAGCTTCTACGGAGAAGAATGGTCATAAAAAGTCTTTCTCAGAAAAAAAAACAAAACACAATTTCTTGAAAGAATGGACTTACTGGATTGGTAGGAACTATCAACTAGAGGCCAGCCTGATTTGCAAGTGGCTGCTCTGTCACCCAAGCCAATAGGCTCAAAGAAAGTAATTAGTAGGAGTTAGTTACAGCAAGTTCCCCGGGACACAGTTTGGTATACAGAAACTCGCCCTGCACCTCTTAGCATTTTCTCAGCTCATGCACCAGGGCTATGTGCAGCAGGTATTTGGTTAATGTGGGGACTGATGATAACATGAGCCATGTTCACCCCTTCAATGAGCTCAAAATCAAAGGTATCAGGGTCCCAGGTGTGTCCCCCAGTCTGAGTTTTTACCGTCATTGAAGCTGTCGCTGGTGGCCACGTGGGTGAATGGGGACTGAGCCGGGGGCTCCTCACAGAGGGAGTAGCTATGCTCAGCCTGGATAAGAGGTGCCGGGGATGTTGGGGATGGCTCCACATCCATGGACACACTCTTCTCTGAGAGGAAAGGGTCATTCAGGAGCTGGCCCAGGACATTCTGGGAAAATTCATCCAGAAGTTCTGAGAAGTGCTGGAGGAAACAAAGGAAGAGAAAGTCAGTTTTCCTTAATCAAGTTCTGATATTTATTCTGCATGCACACTCTAAGGCAAATACAACAACCACTGATGTGTCGTCACTTATACACAATACCAGTTTTATGTTTCTGTCTAGTAAAACCACCTTAGCATTTAGCAGCTTAAAATCACCATAACTTATCACTGCTTGCTACTCTGTGGGTTGGCTCGGTGGGTGAGTCGAATCTATTGGGGTTTCCTGACACAGTCATATCAATCGGATGAGTCAGTCAGGACCTGCGCTGTGCTGGGACAGATGGACACTTGGGCCCTTTTCCCAAGGAGGCTGAATCAGGGTGGGCTTCTTCACATGGTGGCAGAAATGCTCCATGAAAGAGAAAATGAAAGCTGAAAAGATTCAGAAGACATACAACACCACACCCTCCATGGTCTTTTGGTCAAGGCATGTAATAAGGCCATCCCAAACTCATGGGATAGGAAAACAGACTCCATCTCTTGAGGACAAAAACAGCAGAATTACCTCACAAAAGAGTGCGTGGAGGGTGATGTGACACAGTGGGGCGTTGGTGTAATGATCTGCCACACTTTTCGTGGGTAAAATGTTTAAGCTATCCTGTCTTTCTACAGCATGCAGGAGTCATTATGTAGGGTTCCAAGATCAAAGGCATTAGAAGCATGATAGTTTATGGAAACTTTCACGTGAAAATCAGGAACAAGACAAGGATGCCCACTTATCACCACTCCTGTTCAATATAGTTCTGGAAACATGAGCCACAGCAATTAGAAAAGAGAAAGTAATAAAAGGAATAGAGATAGGAAAGGAAAAAATTAAACTGTCATTATTAGCTGATGATATATTTTACATAGAAGACCCAAAAAACTCCACCAAAAGATTTCCAGACTGAATTGACATTCAGTAGAGTAGCTGGATACAAGGCCAACACTCAAAAAATAACAGCCTTCTTATACACAAATAACAGGCTCACTGAGAGAGAAGTCAGGGAAACAATTCCTTTTACAATAGCATCCAAAAAAATGAAATACCTAGGAATCAGTCTAACAAAGGAACTAAAAGACCTCTACACTGGAAACTATAGCACTCTGAAAAAAGAGATTGAAGAGGATATAAGAAAATGGAAAGACATTCCTTGCTCCTGGGTAGAAAGAACCAATATAGTGAAAATGGCCATACTTCCAAAACTGCTATATAGATTTAATGCAATGCCGATTGAAATTCCAATAATACGTTTCACAGAACTAGAGAAAACAATAATAAAATTCATCTGGAACTAGAAGAGACCTAGAATAGCAAAAGCAATTCTAAGCAACAGAGACATGGCAGCGGGTATCACAATCCCCAACCTGAAACTATACTACAAAGCTACTGTGATCAAAACAGCATGGTGCTGGCAAAGAAACAGATCGGAGGATCACTGGAACAGATTAGAAGATGCAGAAACAACTACAGACATACTCAGCCACCTCATCTTTGACAAAGGAGCCAACCACCCTTATTGGAGGAAAGATAGCCTATTTAATAAATGGTGCTGGAAAAAATGGATTTCAACCTGCCAAAGATTAAAACTAGACCCATATCTATCATCATGCACTAAACTATGATTGAAATGGATTAAAAGATCTAAATATCAAAACAGAAACACTAAACTTGCTAGAAGATAAGTTAGGTAAAACTCTTGAAGACATTGGCATAGGAAAAGACTTTACGAACAAATCTCAGTAGCACAGGAACTAGCACAAAGAATCAACAACTGGGATTTCATCTTATTAAAAAGCTTCTTCACTGCAAGAGAAACCACCAACAGAGCTAAGAGACAACCTACAATGTGGGAAAAATTTTTTACCAGCTGTTCCTCAAAGGACTACTGTCTAGAATATATAAAGAACTGAAAAAAATCAGACCCCCCTCAAATTCAAAGACCCAATTCAAAAATGGGCATCTGAAATCAAGAGACATTTCTTAGACAAAGAAGTAAAAGCAGCAAATAAATATAAGAAAAAATGTTCAACATCACTGGTCATTCGAGAGATGCAGATGAAAACAACACTGAGATTCCACCTCACCCCAGAAAGAATAGCTACTATCAAGAAATCAACCAATAACAAATGCTGGCAGGGCTGTGGGGAGAAAGGAACCCTTCTCCATTGTTGGTGGGAGTGCAGACTGGTGCAACCACTGTGGAAATCAGTATAGAGATACCTCAAAGAACTAGGACTAGAGGTCCCATTTGACCCAGCTATTCCCCTGCTGGGTATCTTCCCCAAAGAATTAAAAGAATCATACCACAGTGATATATGTGCACCCATGTTTATAGCGGCACAGTTTGTAATAGCTAAAGCTTGGAAAAAGCCCAAATGCCCATCAACTGGAGACTGGATAAAGAAAATGTGTTTTTTTTATAAAATGGAGTGCTACTCAGCCATAAAGAACGAGAAACTAGAGACATTTATAGCTAAATGGATCCATATTGAGGCCATACTCTTAAGTGAAATAAATAGGACACACGTGTAAATACTGAATAGTTTCTCTAGCGTAAGAAACTGAACGTGTAAATAAGGATTAAGATGAATAACTGATAATTTGAAATAGGAAGAAAAGGTCTAAAGGGGTAGGGGAAGTGGGAGAGGAAGGGGTAAGGAAAGAAGGGAAAGGAAAAAATATGAGAAAATTAAAAAATGGAAACAAAGTCTTTGTAAATAGGGAAGGGCGCACAGGTAATGGGGAAAAAAACAAGACCAAGATACATCATGTACAGGTACAAACACCCAATGATAAATGTAAATGTATTGTATACCTAAAATGTACCAATAAAAGAATTTAAGAAAAAAAAAAGAAGTGCGATAGTTTAGATCTGGAATGTTTCTCAAAGACCCACAGGTTAAAGGCTTGATCCCAGCCCACTGGTGGTGCTACTGGAAGTTTGTGGAATCATTAAAAGCCAGGGCCCAGGCTGCTACTGCTGCTCATCTGTTGCTGCGTTCTGCCTGCTCTGGGATGCCCCTCTGCCATGCCACCCTGCCTTCGAGCCAGCTCACTGTGGACTGAAACCTCTACGAACCTGAGATGAAATAAACCTTTCCTCCTTTGGAAAAAAAAAAAGCCAGGGCCCAGTAGAAAGCCTTCACTGGGGGCGTGCCCTTGAGAAGAATCGTGGAACCACCTTCTTCTTCTTTCTCTCTTCCATTTTTTCTCAGCCATGAGGTGAGAGGTTGTGCTGTGTCATTGCCCACATAGTAATGATGTACTAGCACAGGTGCAAAGCAATAGGGCCACAATTCCGGACTGAAACCCTAAAACTATGAGGCAGAATAACTCTGTTTCTTCATAAACATTAAGTCTGGCATTTGTTACAATAACAGATAGCTGACTAACACAGGCATCTTCTTTCTATTCTCCCCACTGTCTGGAGTCAGTTCCTCTCCAGTTGTCCCTTAACCTCCATAATCACTCCCTGACCCCCACCATGCCACAGGCATGATAAGTGATAGTCTATTTATAATCTGTAGGAGTCCTAAACCCCTGTTCTACTATTCCTCTCCAAAGGACCTGAAGTCCCCTCCACTTTCCCTCCTTGACAGGGATGTGTTTGTGGTCTGAGGCCCCAAGGAGCAGGATTTCTCTCTTGGCACTAGTAATATACAAGGCTGCACAATTCCTTGTGGGGTGTGGGGGGGTCACTCTGTGGACTTAGGGTATGTAGCATCATCCTGGTCACTAACCTAGCAGGTGTGAAACCAAACATGTCTCACTTATTGACAGTTGAAGTGTTATGGTTTGTGTCTAGACATCCCCTCAAAGCCTCATGCAGTCATAGGTGGGGCTTTTTCAGAAGTGGCTGGATCTAGAATGTGTGATGCTGGATTTGATTCATGGTGCAATGCTAGGATCACAAGCATCAGGATTAAAGGTGTGAGTGCTACCTGCCCTAAGTAGCCTGGGTAAGATATAAGGGATAGAAAGAGTTGTCCTTGCTTATTTTGCTCTCTTTTGCCCACCATGAACTGTTTTCTCCTCTGTGATGCCTGTCTGCCATGTCACCCTGTCTTGGAGCCATCCAGTTATGGACTGAAAAACCTCTACAAACTGTGAGCTAAATAAACCGTTTCTCCTTTAACTTTGGGTGTTGGGGATTTTGTCTCAGCAATGAGAAAAGTAACTAAAACGTGGGGTAAACTGAAAATCTGGGGGATTAACAGATCCATGTGGACATGTCCAACCAAGTCCCACCATGGAATTGATGAATCAATGATGCAGTGAAAATGAACCCAGAAAGGGAGGGTAGAGCTCTGGGATCACAAGAGTTTAGGACAGATTCTCTTTTACTAGAGGAGAGAGGCAGACAGCAGAAAGGAAGTCCCTGCAGGATGGGTCCCTAGCGGTCAGAAGGGTGGGTTCCACCCACATAGCAAGCACAGGACACGGCTACAACATCTAGGTCAGAATGCAGGGACACTGTGGGACCTGAGCACAGGTGTCTAAGAGCAAGAGAGGGTGGCTGGGAGAGACAACTCTGAGCCCAAACAAGGCTGGACCTGGAAGGTCATTAGAAACATGTCAGGTAGTCATTCCCAAATGCAGTGTGCTTCCTCAGTTACCAGGGATGTTTTCTGATATTTTACGGTGAACTTTGTTAAGTATTCAAAAAGTTATGGAGAAGAGTAACATGTATTCATTCCTTTAAAAAAATTTTACTTCTCCATGTTTTCTTCTGCAATCTTTTTATCTTTACCCTTCCCTCTTTCCTTCCCTCCTTCCCTTCTTCCCTTCCTTTTGAAGAGATAAAATATCTGAAAGAAACATTAAAACTCCCACCCATATGGCCTCTTCTTTCTCAACACTACCAGTCTGAACTTGGTTTTTAACGTTCCTATCCAAGTCTTTATACTTTTGTTACACATATGTTTCCATTGAATACGTATGATTCTTCCACACTTTAAACGAATGATACCGTACTGAAACATCCTTCTGCAGCCTTC